GTTAGGTTAAAAGTTTGCACAAATCTTGTATAGTTGCATTGTGTCTTGAGTCTTAAGTGTTAAGTTTTTATGATAGTTGGCACCTACCGCACTGTGTCACAGTAGTCGTATAACCACTGAATAACTATTATTCTGATTGATATAGCCACGGTTATAAACTGTTAGATACAGCTCTTTAAAATGACTACACTCACAAAGATTTTGCTTTTAAAATCAAATGCCTACGACCTTWAGCTGTTTTAAAATTTCACCCACGTAATAAATTAGAGTAGATGTTTTAAATAGGTAGGTACCTAATTAAATAGAATAACTAATATTAATTAAATATACAATGGAGGTATACTGAGTGTATACTATATTCACATAGGTAACATATCAAGTATAATAACATCATAATTGATTAAGAATTATTAAATTATAATTTGATTATTTAAGTTATTTTATCGCATTGCGACTTTAAATAATGTTCATATTATATGGGTATAGGTTATATAATGTAGGTACAACATGTTTGTCTTTAATTTTTTATTATTATTATGGTTTGGTATATTCAAAGAAAATATAAAATTAAAATTATATTTTTTTTATATTTTAATTCAGCTACATCAAGTAATACTTGCAGATCAAAAATTGAATATCTAATAGAAATATTGCATCAATTATTAACATAATATGGTTGTTAAATATATCTATATAGATGTAGTATATGTTATTGATTTTCGTGAATTATTGTTCAATATTCCTAGCCAATCTCAAGCATTGTCGAGAACTGTTAATGTTTCTTTTAATTCATTTAATTGAACTGAGTTCATTGTATGCTTTTATAGTTAAAATGCTTTTAATTTGAAATATTTTAATAAATTCGTAAAAAACATATTTATTCGTTTAATTTTGGTGAAGCGATATTTCGCTATACATAATAAATATAACATACGAATGGTTTTAAAGTGATGTGCGTTATTTATTTTTTAAATTTTATTTCCGGATAAATTTATCATTTATACAGTTTTATCTTCAACAAAGGTTAACGAATTAAATTTAGTCAGTACTATATTAGGGGTTAAAATTAATACATATAATATTCCAGTAATTTTTAAAATAATTTAGGAAAACTAAAACAAGAAAACGGGAATATTATAAAGCAACACAAATTTTTGAAAAAATGTATTTATTTTGTAATTGATATTCGAATAGCTGTTATTGGAACTAAAAAATAACAAAAATACATTGTCTCAATTTTTTTATAATAAACAATTTAATTTCGAATTTTAACAAAACTCTTTTTTTCTCTTGATTTTAAAATATACAATCTATTACCTGTTGTCATAATAAGTATGTGTTCTGAGTACAATTTTAAATTACAGTAATGTATTAACATGACGTATAGAGAAATCATCCATTAATGACACTCATATAGCTTGCTTTTATTTATTTCTCTTTTTTTTCGATTTATGTATTATAAGTATAGTAGGTTTAATTTGTGAGGGATA